CATGGTGGTCATATTCGTGGAATGTTCAAAAGTGTTCCGAATGTGAACATGGTGGAAGAAAAGGAAAAAGAGTGGGGCTTAGAAAACAATTTTGTCTCTGATGACGTATCTCTAAACGAAATCCCTCGAAAGGTACCGTCGTCGACGTAGAAGGAGCTGCCATGTGTTCGGAGATGAAATGGATGCGGAATCGTCAAGTACTCGAAGCCCGACGGATAGTGGATACCGATCCACACCTCGCCAAACTAGTGGAGAGAACATCTGCAATTATGATGAAGTTTCACCTACACGTGAGCAATGGAGAAGCTTTTCTTGAACAACTTGAAGATTATTCTTGGAAAATTTTTATTGTAGGAATATCACACAAAACAACAACTGTCGTATATGTGAATGGTGAAAGTTCTCAAGCTGAAGAGCACCAGGTCATGAAAGCTCATGGTGCGACACATACAGCCCTCGATAGTCATATTCTACGTTTCGGGTAGGGCACCTGTTTTAAGAGCGAAAAAAAATCGTTTGCAGTAGAATTACTTTTACCTCCTTCTTTTAAGGGTAATATGCAAGGATACCATTTGCCCATTTGATGAGAAGGATTTGCTAAAACTGCTCTATCACAAATCATTACCAAAGGACAGTCATTGCTTTGATGTCACGCATGTTCCCATGTGCGTCTATTATAATACAACTAAATCAATTGTGATGTATTATATATTTTTTACAGGTTAATTGACATGTTACTAAACACTCTGGAAATGATTACGGATCATATCCAACGTTTATCCATAAACAGTGCTAAGGCAACTGTTGAAAACGTGACGACTTCTACCAAGGTGAGTCCTACAATATTCTAAATTTTCTTCTGGAGCTATTTTAATCATTTTAATCTAACAAAATTCATTTTAAGTTAAATCTCCTAAACATTACAAGTGCTTTCTTTTGTCTTTCAAAGGTTACGCAATTAAGGGGCTGTTTTTTGTCGACTGGCCGTGAACTTCAATTACGTCGTTATCGGCTAACGCCCTTCTGTTTGTTTTCCCCGCAGCCTTAACGGAATACTTAAAATGATTTAATCGGGCATATGACTAGTTCTAGAAAATTCTAAGCCATAAGTAGATCAACTAAAATCGGCTAATGCACCCATATACGTGAACCAATAAAAGTAGGGATCTTTAATTTCTTAGATATAGCATACTAAAAGTTATGAAAGCGCTGTATTTTATATTTAATCCTAGAAACATGCGCTATTTACTTCTAGTTTGCGAAATCGGACAACTACAAACTCTCTTTTGAAATGTGGAACTCTGAGTTATCATCTTAAAGTATGAAAGAGAATGATGGATGTGAAATAAAATGCGACAGATTTTCATTTATGTAATCTTAATAAAAGGTTTAAGGTTACTTAACCTAGCCTTGGTAAATTCTTTGGTGAGGTTCTCCAAAATCTTTGGTTTGCTCATTATTCTATCTGAGAGTATTCTTCAAGTGGTTAATCTGAAATACATCCGAGCT